AACCGTTATTTCAGACTATTGTTGGATGTGCAGCTTCTCGGTCAGCTTCAGTATGTAACAGCTTGAAGGATTGTCCTGATATTATATAGGGCCAGCTGAATTTAGTCGCTCAATTTGAGGCTTCGTTTATAGGTTACACGTCATGAGAAATAGCAAATTAATGATTAAGACATTCATCAGACCTTCAATGTTCAATGCTCATTGTCCATTATTCAATATCCATGTTATCATAGATTTAGCCAGAACAAGTGAAAATGCCCTTTCACCAGACATTTTCGCACTATTCGACCCTCGTGGGCCGCCCCTGACCCTCCGACGGTCCCCTGCAGGTTCGGTTCTGCTCGGAGGCGTGCCGGACGGCGGCGGCTGATCAGCACGTGCTGGAGTGCGGCCTGCTGGAGCGGCTGCTGGAGCTGGACGTCGGGCCGATGGCGCTGCTGGCGCTGCGGCTGGTGGCCGCTGCTGGACCGGAGCGGCTGCGGCGGCAGCGGCTGGGGCGGCCCGGCGATACCACCGGGTCTGGGGGAGAGGGCTGCTCCCCCGGTCAGCTGGACGCGGCTCGAGGTCTGGTGGGTCACACCAAGCAACGCTCCGTGGCCGACCTGTTCCGTCGCACCGCCACCGCCGTCTGCCTGGCCTGTCTTCTATACAGCCAGCGTGGCGACAGCTCGACTCGTATTGAAAATTCACGGAATGAAAACGGCGAAACCACACAGAGAGAAAACGGCACATCAGAACAGAGCAGTGTCCGAGAAGAGAATGACGTTTCGAAAGAGGGAAGTGACCTCGAGGAGACGGCCGCCGCTCTGCTGCACTACCTGCAGTCTCTACCGTGTAACGCGCACGAGATCTCTGAGCAGGTGGTGCGTGGCGAGGAGGCCGAGCTGCGTGAGGTGGGCGCCGCCGTCTACCCGAGCGTCAGCCTGCTGAACCACTCGTGTGACCCGAACGTGCTCCGCGTCAGTCACGGCACGGCCTGCGTGGTGCGCGTCATCCAGCCGGTGCCGGCCGGCGGCGAGCTGCTCGACAACTACGGCTTCCACTGGGCCGTGCAGGGCTGGACGGAGCGGCAGGCGGCGCTGCGCGGACAGTACTTCTTCGACTGCCGGTGCCGCGCCTGCACAGAGGACTGGGCGCCGCACATGGACCTACCCGAGAAGGAGTACTTCCTCTGCGACCTGTGCGACGCGCCGCCGATCTACTGCTACCACGAGAAGGACGCCAGCAAGGTGGAGGCCTTCACCAGGTCCCGGAGGGCGTTCATGAAGGCCATGGAGAGGAGGAAGCAGAGGGGTGGCACAGCTGATGACGTTGAAGCGCTGGTTAACCACATGAGGGTGATGCAGAGGGTCATCGCCAAGCCGTCACGGGAATTCAACAACTGTCAAGAGGCAGTGAAGCTGCACTTCTTCGCTGAGGGGAACTCCTATCAAGAATTGGCGGAAAAGCAACCAACCGCAAAGAGCATGCTGAAGGAGGCTGGCACAACCGAAACACTGAACTGCATCGAGAGGCTATATGGGAAGAATAAGCGAATTACTGCATGAGTGCTTGCTAGTCTCCAAACGTTATCATTTTGTAAATCGTCTGAAGCTTAGATAGAATCAATGATATTGAGAGTCTGTAATACATCGCATGCTTAAAATGACCTTTTTGGTTGTATGCTGCAACTTTACTACGTTCTTCTGTACCTATTAGTATTGAAGCAAACACGTGCAAAGAGATGCAAAAATCGGCACATAACACGACTGAAGGCAAGCGCTCCCCACAACATCGTACTTATGCACTGTATTGACATTTGAACTAACAATTCAAAGTGGTCTGCCACAGAGTGCACGCCGCTTGATTTAATCATACAGCGGGACGCACGTCTGCTAATTACTTCGTGAGTTTCGTGATCGGACAGACGGTGATCCCGACACCGTCCCCATATGAGTCTTGATTCATACACAACGGAAGCGACCTGTGGCCTGGAACAGGTCCCGCGTGCTCTCTGATTAGCTTGTTACACTTGGCCATGAACCATCTGAGGATCGTGAGGTGATTGCTAACCGCACATACCAGACCACACTGTTACGTGTATTGCCTCATAACCAGAGCATATATCACACAGTTGTATTCATCATTCGTATTTGCACATCTCTCTGCACCAACTCATAAATCAGAGGAGGGTCGGGTTCGCCGGGTAACGAGAGCTCGGGGGACATTTGGTCCGCCCCCCGGCCGGCGCGGTGCACGACTGACCTGGCCGCGGTCCGCACCACTCCCAACGGGTCAGACGGGGTCATCGGCGGGCCCCGCGCGGCCGGGTGCGGCGCGGCGCGGCGCAGAGGGCCGCCACGATCGTCACGAGTGCGCCAGAGTCGCCGCGCTGTGGTGCCATTGCTCCGCGGCTGCTCCTGCACGTCATGCAGACTCCTGCGGCTGATCGGGCGTGCGATAGGCGTGGTGGTGGGATGGGTGGGGGTGGAGGAATGACCAGTGTCGCATGAAGTGTTCACACGTGCGCGGCCTGACGGACATGAGTGTCAAGTTGATTATGAAACTCCATACGAAAATGAATCAAATGCAGCAAAAGATCATTTCGAAGCAGGAATATTGCAACCTTTCAGCATCAAGGTCATGTGTAATGTTTTGCCATGCTTTATGAATTCTATGACACGCACAAAAAATGTAATGTAGCGATTTAGTTCGGTCTATGATAATATTTAGCGACAAAATACAAATACGTCTTACAAAAGGTCAAAAATGTCAATATTCTTACATCTTTTTATCGTATAATAAAAAGTCATATAACAAAAAAAGGCTAGAAAAGCCTTTTTCTGCATAGAAAAGCCTGCATTAGTTGACTAAATGCAACCAGAAAAAAAGGTTATCGATATACCATCCATATTCCGTCCCGTTTTCTTGTTTCTAGTGTTAAATCTTTAATGAGTGGTTAGCTTACAAGTACAATAAAACACGATTAGGATGGCCTCTTTGGCATTTTATCACAGAAAAATCAATAATCACAGAAAAAAACTTAATTATTCTGCCAATCAGTGTCTCGTATGTATAACCTGTACATTCCCTGATGAGTTGCAAGTTAAAACTGGAGCAATTACAAGACTAGATTACTAGATTACAAGATTACAAAACTGTACTTACAAGACTAGATTTGGAGACGGTTGTCTTGAAATCCTGTCCCGTGCACGTACGTGTAAGTCAAGAGCAGTGCGCATATAAATAACCATGATCTACATGCTCCTTCAGTATGAATCACTCTCCAAATATTTCAACCTGCACCCGTGTTTAGCACTCCAGCTAACACAAAAATGATGGGTTTTCGTTCCCGCTGATTCACGTCTCACTGACAAGTGGGGCATAGCCTCGTCACTGTGAGGCGTTGTAATTTATATGACAGGTGATATGAGAACATGCAATCGTGTCTTGGAACAATTAATTTCCAAGGGGAGGGATCACCCGCATCAGGTCACCCGGCACAGGAAGTCAAATACACCTTACCAACGCAAGACCACGGCTGTGATGTAGCAAAGCATAGGACAAGTTAATTAAGTTTCACATGCACTGATGTGAAATTAGAGGCACCATGTCAGCCGGCGCCGCACTGGTTCGCAGGCTGTTATATCGATATTGATGAAACTGTGTCATGACCTTGCCCTTGCTCGCCCCTTCCATGGTTGAATTTCGTATGGGTGAGAAGCCTGCGATCATTTCGTCCAAATGTGAGACCTACCAGGTAGAAGTGCCGAGAAATTGTTTCTGTCGCATTATGTAACCACCGCGCCATTTTCTTCGCCCGCCGAGATTAGTTCACACTAACCCGCCATTATGTCTCGAAGCTCTGTGAACATTGTATCGATGGCAGATCCATCCCCTATTAAAAAAGACCTTAGACCCACAAAACGCTCCCAAAATTATGACTCATCGAAAGCATTACTGATATTTGATTTGGCCCTGAAAATTCACCCATGTGAAGCTATCTGAATTGCTATGCGAATGGGGTGCATCACAGCCAAGTGTCTGAGCTTGGCGGCTGGTAAATTTCTGGTCGGGATGACTGGAGAGCAAGTAAATTATTGGAGTCCAATCTGTGCGTCGTTTAGTGTTTAAATGAAAAAGAAACAGGACCCCCTGCAACCGTAGCTTTTCGGGTTGCTCAAAGAATCAGGTAGAAAAAAGATCCTAGTGTCTCACAAGCATTTACCTACCTCTTCATTTTTTCGTTGCTTTTATCAATGTTTTACTAAAGATGGTTATGAACTATCAACCATGAAGCGTGAATTGGCAATGGGCTATAAATATATCGCAACTAAAAACAACATACCTAAAAAGGTTTTATCGGGGACACTATGAATTCATCAAACTCAGCACAGAAAATGCATTAGAAATTTAAAATCAATCGAAAATCGAGAACAGGTTCGATAAAATCCGTAAGAATAAAAATACCAAATTTGTTGTTCACATAAAAATTACATTCCAAATATCTCAATGCAACTCCCAATTGTATGTTATTATAAAAAATAGCAAAACATCAATTTTCAACTTTAAAATTGTTCTAGCATGCAACTAACAAGGAAATCATCTCAGCTTAAATTCAGTTACCCCATCTCGGCATCATTCGCCGGTGTTTCGGTATGGGAGCCTCTGGCGGCTCCTGCAGCTCCCTGTCGTGACCTCACCCCCGTGTCAGCCGGCGCCCTATATAAGGCATTCACTCTGTCGGCGGCGTCACTCTCATCCCAGTCAGCGATAGGCGCGCCATCACCAGCGATGCTGCGTTACCAGAGTGTGGGTGTGCTGCTGCTGGCGGCGCTGGCCGCCCCCGCCCCCGCCCCCGCCCCGGACGGAGCCTCGTACGGCGCTCCGCCGCCGCTGGGCGGGGGTCGGCCGGCGGGAGGGTTCGGTGGAGCGTCGGGAGGATTTGGTGGAGCGTCAGGAGGATTTGGTGGAGCGGCGGGAGGATTTGGTGGAGCGGCGGCAGGGTTCAGCGGAGCGACAGCCGGGTTCGGTGGAGGAGCGGCAGGGTTCGGTAACGGTCTTGGTGGCGGCGGCGCCTCCGGCGGCCGGCGCGGTGCCCTGCGGGAGCCTGTGGGACCGGGACTGCGGCCCGACGGCCTGCCCATCGGGCCCGGCATGCCCTATAGCTTCAGCTGGGCCGTCGACGAGCCCGACTACGGCAACCAGTACGGCCACGAGGAGGAGAGCGACGGCGTGGTGACGCAGGGCCAGTACCGCGTGCTGCTGCCCGACGGACGCACCCAGATCGTCACCTACTCGGTGGAGGGCGACAGCGGCTTCCAGGCGCAGGTCACCTACGAGGGCGAGGCGCAGTTCCCGCCGGCCGGCCAGCCCGCGCTGCCGGCCGTGCCGTTCGTCCCTGCCGTGCCGGCCGTTCCGGCCGTTCCCGCCGACCGTTTGCCGTCCGCCAACGGTCGAGTGACCCGCCTGGGCGCCGGTCGGACGTTCCCGCAGCGCGTGGCCATCCAGCGAGGCTCGCCGTTCCCTGTGGGTACGGCAGCGGGAGGAGCACGCCGGTATCCTGAGGACGATCCCGCCCCGCCCAGCACCAGCTACGGCTTCTGAGCGGTGCGGCCGACACTCAGCGTGGTCCAGTGTCCCAGCAGTGGTGTCTAGCCGAAAGTCGCAATGTCCGCAATATCAATGCCTTTTGATATTGTGATGAACAGTGTGACAATAACGACGGGCAAGCTCGATTGTTCGGCTATCTCAGAAGCATTGTTCCTTTTTTGTTCGTGTTAATGCTTTTTGTGTGGGTATTGTAAATGCAGCGGAGTGCTGAGGTATGCACACATGTAACCTATGAGGAAATGTTTGTGTAAATACATACCAATTGTTGATAAAGTAATTGAATCATAAAGCATAATATTCATAATTTGGGAATGACAAAAGGTATTGGCATCGATGAGCAGTAGGGAATGACGCAGAATACAAAGGAAAAGATTCAAAGAGAGAGAGAGAGAGAGAGAGAGAGAGAGAGAGAGAGAGAGAGAGAGAGAGAGAGAGAGAGAGAGAGAGAGAGTGAGAGAGAGAGAGAGAGAAAAAGAGAGAGAGAGAGAGAGAGAGAGAGAGAGAAGAGAGAGAGGAGAGAAAGAGAGAGAGAGAGAGAGAGAGAGAGAGAGAGAGAAGAGAGAGGAGAGAAAGAGAGAGAGAGAGAAGAGAGAGAGAGAAAGAGAGAGAGAGAGAGAGAGAGAGAGAGAGAGAGAGAGAGAGAGAGAGAGAGAGAGAGAGAGAGAGAGAGAGAGAGAGAGAGAGAGAGAGAGAGAGAGAGAGAGAGAGAGAGAGAGAGAGAGAGAGAGAGAAGGATACTTTTCAGGATTGCATGCAAATAAATAAATGAAACCTTATATTTTATTTTCTAAATCCAATATTACCTTACGTTTATTTGCCTTAAAAAGCAATTTCCTTAACCTTCCAGGCGGTGGGGGGGGGGGGGCATTTTTTGTCCCCCTTTAGTTTTTCGATATATATCCAGAACCGCTGCGCCGATCGTCACCAAACTTTCAGTACCCTCCCGTGAATAGCTATTGCACATTGTGACCAATTTTTTTTCCAAAGGCTATGATAGGTTGGCCGCTAATGACGTCAGAGTGACGTCATTTCTGCCATTTTCGACCCAAAAAAAGGTTTCGCGGGAAGAGCTGTCAGGCCTACAACTTTAGAGATACAGAAAAACGTTTCAAACTAAAAGGTGTAGAATTAAGAGGGCTAGAAAACTGCTATCTTGGATTTTTGAAATTTTTGGATTTTTACCCACAAAAATGAAAAATAGATTTTTGAATATAATAGCCAAAAAATCCAAAAAGTTTTTTGAATTTCGAAAAACCGGAATATATGTGATAGCCCCTACCGTCTTCTATCTACATACCAAATTTGAGATCGATACCTCTTTTTTTGGCCAAGTTATAGCGAAAAAACTGTTCAAAATTGATGACGTCAAATTTACAAACTCAATTTTTAGCAATTCTAGACCTCGTAGCGCAACACAAAGACCACCATTAGACTCCCCGTGACGAGCTGCATCGAATCAATACCCATTTTATGCAAAACTATCAACTTTGAAATTTGACTTTTTTTACCTGACCTTGACCTGACCTCCACCAGAAGGTGACCTAAACCGTACCTGATGGTCTTATAACCAACACCATTGGGTTGGAAATAAAAAAATGGCCATAAAACATGCATCGCACAACCTGAGTAAAGTTGGGTTCATGTGGTGACCCTTGGTGACCTGACCTGTGACCTGACCTGGTATGACCAGTGACCACTAATAGCAACATATGTACTAGAAAACTAACGCCCTATCGCTGATTTTCGACAAAATGCGTTTCACTCGGTGTTATAGCACTTTCCCTAGAAGACCCGTGGACGGTGAGACATTTTATCTTTGACCTGACCTGTGACGTCATCGGTGACCCCGAGGTCAATGAAATTTGGTTTCCTTCGACAAATTTGACAGGGCTATCGAACGCCGTTTGAATTTTCCGGATCCGTCTGGTAGTGTCGGAGATACGGGGGGGGGGGGCAAAAATGCCCCCCCCCCCCCACCGCGCGGAAGGTGGCCGGGAGGCCCACCGCCTGCCGGGTTAAATTACGCAGAGTCGCAGAAGGCGGTTAGGCGGTCGCACCAGTACATACCCAGTACAGGGACGGATCCATAAAATATAAAATAAAGAGGTCCTTCCAAGTCCGCGGCCTGCATGTTTGGTTTTCCTTCCGAACAGCCAAATCTTTTATTCGGGTTTTGCTGATACCAACAGAAAGCTCTCATGGACTTTCCCAGCAGAGCATGAGGCTCTCTGCTGCCTAGGTGGACCATGGGCACTATTAGGTGGATCAGGCACCATGGTAGTGCAGTGGTAGTGGCAGTGAAAGGTCTGTTAGTAATCTGGAGGAGGGTCTGTCTCGGTCCTAGACAGGCAGGAGACCCTCGTCGGTGGATACAGATACCGTTGTCTAGTGCAGAGGTGAAAATTAAACGGGAAGTCCTCCGTTCTTTGGGTAAACCGTCCACAATGCAGCCCAGTATAAACGCTCTCGTCATATACTGAAAGACTACTCGCTGGTTCAAATGGTCGCTGCTCTACTACTTGCCACCTAAAGGGGACCTGGAGCACGCACTCAGAAGACCTCCGTTATCTCAGGGCCACCAGCGTTATGCGCACAAGCGTCCCTTGCTGACTTGGAGGGATCAAGAGTAACCCGTCAAGCGATCAAAAGTGCCCCTTCCTGCGCTCAGAGGTCCAGTAAAAGGTATCAGAGATTTAAAGATGCGTTCAGAACTCGCACAAGGGAACCCTCGCTGGGGTAGAAGTCAAATTTTAAGGGCATTTTGATTTCTTATCTTTTTTAGTGACGGAAAGCAATATAAGGACAATGAAGCAGTTTCACCTTCCTTCTGTAGTGACCAGGCTTCCGTGATAGGTACACTCTTATTCATAATAAGCAACTATCAACTCTATTATAGATCCGGTATCATAATATTGTGTGTATTTCATGCATTTGTCTTTGGTAGTCTATCACATCATAAATAATCTAAAAAAAACTCGCCGTCATCGGAATAAGTCAGATATCAGAGCACCCGAAACTATCCACAACACACATACCAGGCGTTCCCGTATAATATGTAGTTACAGAATAACGTGCAAATGCTGCAGTGCCGAGGCACTACAGATCAGCCAGGGCCCATGTACGCCAGTTAGAAGCCGTAGCTAGTGCTGGGCCGGCCGAGGCCAGACGCCGAACCCACCACCCCTGCCCCGCCCGGAGCCCCCGGCACACCGGGCAGGGCAGGGCCGACTGGAGCACCAGGCACGCCGGGGCCGCCGGGGCCGCCGGGACCGCCCAGCTGGCCGGCCGGCGGGAACTGCGCCTCGCCCTCGTAGGTGACCTGCGCCTGGAAGCCGCTGTCGCCCTCCACCGAGTAGGTGACGATCTGGGTGCGTCCGTCGGGCAGCAGCACGCGGTACTCGCCCTGCGTCACCACGCCGTCGCTCTCCTCCTCGTGGCCGTACTGGTTGCCGTAGTCGGGCTCGTCGACGGCCCAGCTGAAGCTGTAGGGCATGCCGGGCCCGATGGGCAGGCCGTCGGGCCGCAGTCCCGGTCCCACAGGCTCCCGCAGGGCACCGCGCCGGCCGCCGGAGGCGACGCCGCCACCAAGACCGTTACCGAACCCTGCCGCTCCTCCACCAAACCCGGCTGTCGCTCCGCTGAACCCTGCCGCCGCTCCATCGTAGCCTCCCGCCGCTCCACCAAAGACTCCCGCCGCTCCACCAAACCCTCCTGACGCTCCACCGAACCCTCCCGACGCTCCACCGAACCCTCCCGCCGGCCGACCCCCGCCCAGCGGCGGCGGAGCGCCGTACGAGGCTCCGTCCGGGGCGGGGGCGGGGGCGGGGGCGGCCAGCGCCGCCAGCAGCAGCACACCCACACTCTGGTAACGCAGCATCGCTGGTGATGGCGCGCCTATCGCTGACTGGGATGGGAGTGACGCCGCCGACAGAGTGAATGTCTTATATAGGGCGCCGGCTGACACGGGGGCGAGGTCACGACAAGGGGCAGCAGGAGCCGCCAGAGGCTCCCATACCGAAAGGTCAGCAGACCCAGCAGGTCAGAGCAGCCGCTGATACCGAATCCCATGCCGGGTAGTTTATGGGCGATAATGCGTTCTGGATAGCGGGCGGTGATGCACAGTATTTACCAGCGCCGCTGTCGTCAGCAATTTCCGAGCTGGGTGTTTCGGAGAGGCAGCAGCTCCCATCTCGGGCAACTTAGAAATGATTGCAGGTTGCCTAATAGCTGTGACGTGTGTTTATTTCGTGACCTTTACACCTGCAGGTCACAATGCCTTTGATGCACCGGATGTATTGCAAGAATTGGGAGATGCCGCTGATGGTGAGCCAAATAGTGCAACGCAAAAATGAATAAAAAAGAATGAACATTACGGGGCTGGTGCAAAGAGCTTCATGTAATTGACCAGTTTTGAAACGGAACATCTATAGAAACTACTTCTACAGGAACAAAAACTACTTCAGGAACTAACTGCCAAATGAAAAGAAAAAACAGCATAGTATACCTTGTTGTTACGGAGCGAGCGTAGTCTTTCCTTAGATTAACGGAAATTTCTGAGTATGAGCGGCCGGCCGGCCGGCCATACGGACGCTTTTGCGAGACTTATATTTCGGCAACCACTTGATTGATTTACATGCGGTAATTTTTGTAGGGTAGCTTCATTCCTTCTACCAAGTATTGGACTATGCCCGATGCATGTGGGTGATCCCTTATGCACGTGTCACGTGCAAAACGAAGAGGTGTCAGTTTTGTGATAGTTGCAATATCTCGGTAACTACTTGACCGATCGCGCTGAAAGTTGGCATGTAGGTAGGCACCCACTAGACAATGCATATCCACGTGCCAGAGTTGGGATGCTGCTGCACGAGCGCACGTGCAGGGGTCGTTTCCAGATCTCGAGAACGGCTGGACCGATGGCGCTAAAATTTGGTACACGGTTAGGGACCAGTTAGTAGGGTGCCATGTACAAGTCAGTTGAGGCCCATTTTGCACGCGCGCACGTGCAGGATGCCGCTTCCAGATCTCGAGAACGGCTGAGCCAATTGTGCTCAAATTTGGCACATCGCTAGAGACCGGTTAGTAGAATGCCGTGCACAAGTCAGTTGGAGGTACACTCGGGGGCAGATTGATGTTCCACAACTCTTTATCCACCGGGTTCCTATGGCTCAGCATTGGCAGCAGCCGCCTGGTACCGGTAGACTGTGCCGCTTCACT